ATGTCCCTCGTGTGTGCAACATGTCCTGCCCATCTCAACTTCTGTAATTTGATCCTCGTTTCTTTCTTCCAGGTGCAGAAGGATTGGCTGTGATACTTCCCGAGTTCTGTAAGTCCACTGAAATATCTAAATATTTTGAAACAAATTTTGTTATTTTATGACTCATAAATAGGCCCATTTTGATAGAGCTTACAATCCGCATGAATTTACATCAGCGTAATGTGTGCGCGCCAGTGTATGTGTGTTGTCCGTACCGGCGTGGTTTTCGAACACGTCGAACCCACTTTACAAGATACACTCGAATTCCCTACAGTTCAGCTAATTACAGTATCATTCCCTTAATTTTGATCGCATGAAAAATATAATTTCCCCAATTTTGCATGGCACATGAAGCCTTCACTTGTCACCAGCGCATAGGCCTAACTTGCTTATCGTAATGCCAGCGGCTTAAATACGAACCCTGGTTACCGTGAAGAGAGCGGCTTAAATGTATTGTGGCATGTTTGTTCTAAGTAAGAATTCTGGAACCAGATACACAGCCGTTGCTAGCGGACGGCTCTGAAACAACGCCCAAGTCAACGTGGAAAAATAACTACCCCCCTTGGAGAAATATCCTTACAGCACCAATGAGTGTAGTATCTCTACCGTTTAAGATTTGAGGTTTTCACGTGATGATTATGAAGAAAGCCGTCTTCTGGGTTGTGATACCGTATATATATATATATATATATTGTATAAATAGACGTTTCGGAGGAACATATCACCTCCATCTTCAGGGCAGAAAAAATCCGTGAGCAGGTGGCTGCAGTCTGCAGATTCCTCTTATGTTTCAGTTCTGAATGACTTCATGAGTGATATGATGAAGTGTTTACTCGCAGTCGATCTGCAACTAAACAGCCATCTCGCGAAATGATTAATTGCTTCAGGGTATTTATTTAGTTAATCAAGACGTTCCGTTTGAGTGTTCTCTCAGACTCATCCACTGTCACCATATCCTCCCACAGTATTACACTGATGTCTATGATATTATAAATTTACTAAGGACGCATAGATTGTCGTTATAATTCGGATTTGGAAGTCCTTGTTTCGAAACAAGGGCAGGAAACGGAGGTAGACGCCGTGTATTTAGATCAACAACAACACCCCATACCGAGAAAACCATCACCATGCCTTAAGATGCCATAAATATCGACCCCAACAGCGCTATAAGTAGGAAGGAATTCACAAGCATACACTGCAATGGTTTCTTTCATGTGTTGGTTATCTCTTGGGGTTTTCCTACCAATCCAGAGCGCCTAATTATGTCTGAATTGAATCTTCTACGTTGTTTTGAACTGGAGAGTCTATGTAATTCCAAACTCGAGTGTACCTAGTTTCGGACTGGAGTCTTTATGTAATTCTGAACTGAAATGTATACCTAGTATACCTAGGGCGGATCTTGTTCTGAACTGAGTTGTGTACCCAATTCTGAGCTGAAATGTCTGCCTAGTTTTGAACTGAAGCCTTTGCATAATTCTAAACTGAAGTGTGTATCTTATTCTGAACTGAATTGTGTACCTAATTCTGAACTGAATTGTGTATCTAGTTCTGAACTGAATTGTGTACCTAGTTCTGAACTGACTTGTGTACCTAGTTCTGAACTGAAGCGTGTGTCTTGTTCTGATCTATAGCGTCTGCCTAGTTCTCTTTTTTTTTTCTCATAATTTCTTGGGGTGGGGTGAGACTGAGTCCACTTGGTACGTCGGCCACTCACTGATCTCTTGTACCAGCCCCGGATTATGAGTGTGGAGCAGTTGGTGGAATGAGAATTGGTAGGGGAAACCGAAATATTCGGAGAAAACCTGCTCCGGTACCACTTTTACACCATAAAACCCACATGACCTGACCTTGGATCGAACTCGGGCTTCCGCCTCGGTGGGAAACAGGCGACTAACCGACTGAGCTACGACAGGGCCTGCCTTGTTCTAAGGAGTCATTTCCACTGCTGTTCGAAAACCTGACAAAAATTCGGCTATGGAATGCAGTCCATATTCAGTAGATAGGCATAAGATAAACTTCGGGATTCCCCTAACTTTGTCTAGAAAGGATCCGGGGCTTAAGCAGCATCCTGTCCGGCGTCTTCTGAGAGGTGTTTCGTGGGGAAACTGGCAAACGCACGTTCTTATCATAATCGGGGTCTGAACCAGTGACCGTCCAGTACTGTGACCATAAAATCGGGTACGTTAAGTAACTTAAAAATGAAAATATCTCTGTCCTTTGAGATATAACGCAGTGTAATCCGTTGAAAGTCAACTGACGTTTCGGAGGAATATGTCGCCTCCATCTTCAGTGTCGAAGAATAAGCCAAGCAAGAAAGCAGCGTAAAGCAGTTAGCAAGCAGAGCAAATCCTACACAAAAGTAAAATATTGAAATTTCTGTGTTCGGAAAACACACAATCTTTCTCGGTTTCCCCAGTGTATCCCTTGCCTTTGTAGACTCCACATTTGGAAATGAGATGTGTCACGGACACTTTGTTGATGAAACTCAGGCCTTAGCTAACCTTTGAAACCGCATCTCCAGGCACCTAGGAGTGTGAGAGTACTTTCTGCAATCCTCTGATTGTCTCCAGACGGAGCAAAGGCTCTCAATTGTTACGATACAAAGGCTGCCTCTCTGTCCGTTAAGCCCTGTCCTTCGATCAGTCTGGCTTTGTGAGAGCGCCTTACCATGTTCCTGCTTTTGCTAAGCTGTTTATAAGAATCAGAAGACGGAAAACATTAACTACTTTTTGTGGAATAGCAGAAAAGTATTTTGAATCAGTCACAGCCTCGACAGCTCAGTCGGTATAGCGACTGGATACAGGCTGGACGGCCCAGGGGTCGAAGTTCGAGTCCTGGTAAGGGTAAAATTTCTGTCCTGTCCACAGCGTCCAAACCGTTTCTTGGTCCCATCCAGCCTCATATCCAATGGGTAACGGGGGTCCTTTCCTCGGGAGTAAACCGACCGGGATGTGAACCTAACCACTTACCTGCATCTAGTGCCGAGGTAAAAAATACGTGGATCTCTACATCCACTCCCCCATAAGTCTTCATGGCCTAAATTGTTCCCTGTGAAACTACGTACCGACCGACTATAGGGTTTATCCGCCCAATATGTACGGGTCACCGCTTCCTCTTGCGTTATCTCTCTCTTAAAAATAAATTTGTCCTTGTGCTTAATTAATTAAAAATTAAGCACTATACCATTAATGGGTATGGGGTAGAGGTATACTTCCACTATTATCGGTACTAGATAGAGGTTAGTGGTCAGCTTCACGCCCCGACCGCTTTACTCTAGGGTAGAACCCACGGTACTTATTGGATAGGACGTCGGGTGGGTCGCGACGCTGTGGAGAAAAGGAAAATCTCTTACCTCTGCCGGGAGTCAAACCCAGGCCAACCAGCGTTTAGTCTATCCCTACGCCGACTGAGCTATTCCGGGCTGAAAATTGTAAAAACATACGCCAGCCTGTGCCGGATGAGAACCGAATTGTGTCTGTAATGGCGACGGACGTGCATTTGTGTTTCCATGACGAAATAAAAACAATTACAGTAATATAAAGACCGTTGAATTTATAACGGGTAATTGATACTGTTGCCAACACCATGCTTGGCCGTATGGTATTTATTTCACTGTAATAAATGTATTATTCACTATAGATCTTACTGGTTGAGATAGTATGCTACAAGCCGGAAGGTCGCGGCTTCAGTTCCCTATGAGGTCATTGTTTTTTTTTTCAATTGACCTAATCCTTTAAGCCGCACCAAACGTACCACAGTAAGCCAGCAGGAATATCTAAATTAATTATAATGCTCAGTAAGGGCTTTGCTTCACATCTGTAATTACATTTCAATATAATTTTAGGGAAAGAACAGTCCCTACTTTCATCTGAATTTAAACAGAAAATTAAACGGGTATCTTTAATATGTACCCCGGATAGTGTTGATTGGCTGGCTTTTGTGTTAAATCGGAAATGTTTCGGAAGCTAGTTCTGCATCCATCTTCAGTCAAGTGACTGTATAATTGAGGCTAGCTCTTTCCAGAGGAATCATCAGGATAGTACCCCCTTAACACAGAAGCAGGACCCTTTTCCAAAATGATACGTTTTTGATCAAGAATATGATCTAATAAAACTGTGTGGGAGTTGGAATTCTCCGCCTTCTTGGATCCGGATAGTCTGGTAGTACCTTCTACCTTGAAGATGTAGGCAGTGTTTTTTTTCCTAAATACCAATTTACATGACCTCACAGTCCATAAAACAATAATCTTCAAAACTAATATATAGTGTACCTTTTAGGAGCCGGGATAGCTCAGTCGATATAGCGACTGGCTACAGGCTGGGCGACAGAGGGATCGGAGTTCGAGTCCCGGTGGGGTCAAGAATGTTCTCTTCTCCACGTCGTCCAGACCGGCTCTGGGTTTCACCCAACCTCCTGTTCAATGTGCGCCGGGCTCTTTCCTCGGAGATAAAAGCGGCAGGGCCGTGAAGCTAACCACTCACCTCCAGCTAGTGCTGAGGTTAAGAAAATATAGATATATATCAAACTCTCCCATACGCCTTCATGACATAATGCTTAATTAATTAAGCACAAGGGCAACTCTACCCTTTTATGGTGTATGATTTGTCGAAAACACTAAAAAATAAACAAAGTCTGGTAGTTTGAATAGTCATGTGTATCTCCGCGGCAAATATTAACAGTTTATAGCCCCCAGAAGGGAAATGATAGGCGTAGAATATAAGTAAGTGTGTCTGTACCCAAAACTCAGCTTAAATCTGTCAATAACCTAGTCCCTGTATTCATCACACACAACTAAAACAGCAAGCGAAGCCATTCCTTCACATTTCTTGTTGTACACAAACGCGATCCTATTAATTCTCATACTAAGGGAAGTCGTACTGCCATCAGATTCCTCAACACACTCACTCAGTAAGCACTGTATAGTTACCATGCCAACGAAAATGTATTGTTGTGTGACTTACCGATTGTTGATTGTTGACGACTGCACCACTAGAGCCACTACAGCGTAATGGCGTCCCACAGCTCACCACGACGCCCCCTCACGTCACTCCCAATCGATACTTGGGGCACATGCGCTCCGATATTGTGTGAATTGAGAGAGTGACCCCAGAATTCAGGCTCTCAGGGAGGAATTAGGTGCCCCTTGCGGACCATTCAGCAACACGCTGTGCTTACCAGAAGCTCTCCTGTTCTTACAAGCAAACTAAAGTTGACCATGAAGATATGAGTGGAGGTATAGCTCCACAATTTTATAACTTCGATACTAGATTGAGGTGAATGTTCAGTTCCACGACCCTGCTGCTTTACCCTAGGGAAAACGGCCCTGATATGGATTGTGTAGGGGGCTAAGTGTGCCCCAGATCACATATGGACTCTGTGGAGAAAATAGAAATGTGTTCCCCTTGCCCTGCAATCAGAACCCCGATTCCTCGGTCGTCTAGTCAATAGCCTAGGCACTGCAATGTTGTTACACACATTTATAAGTATCCCACAGAGTTTCAATCGAACATACGGATTTTTAGGCGCGCCAGTAACCCTGTGAAACGTCTGCTCATATCGATCCGTCTGCACGGAGGAAACAAAGTTAGAACGGCTGAAAAGATTTTTATGAATTACTCGTATAATACCTGAACCGGGATAGCTCAGTCGGTATAGCGATTCGCTACGGGCTGAACAACCAAGGGGTCGGAGTTCGAGTCATGATGTGGGCAAGAATTTTCACTTCTCCATGTCGCCCAGACCAGCTCTGGGGCCCACTCAACCTCCTATCCACTGGGTACTGGGGGATCTTTCCCCGGGGGTAAAGCAGCCAGGGAGTGGAGCTGACCGCTCACCTCCAGCTAGTGCCGAGATCAAGAAAATGTGGATATATACATCCACCCCCCACCCCCCATACACTTTCATGGCGTAGTGCTTAATTAGTTAAGCACAGGGACAACTGTACCTTTAAACGTATGATAAGGGAGTTTCATTCAAATTTGTTGTCACATTTAAATTTTGTTTAAAGTAATATATTTTTTACCAAGACCTACTCGCGTAGGTAAGAGGTAAGGCTTAGGGTAGGGGTAGGTGAGGCGCGTAAAGCTAACAACCTCACCACCATCTGTGAGCCGATTTTCTAGAAATTGTAGGATCCTCGACGTCTCATAGCCCTATGGGTCTTCATGGCTTGTTACAGGGATAGCTTTACCTTACTACTACTACTACTACTACTACTACTACTACTACTACTACTACTACTACTACTACTACTACTACTACTACTACTACTACTACT